GGGCCTTTCCCCTCTAGGGGGCGCCAGCTCCCATCCGGCCCCAGGGCAGGGACTGGCTGGCTGGGGAGGGGGAGATGGGCTGGCTCAGGGGGGCAGGGACTGGCTGGTTCAGGGGTGCGGGGGATGGGGGTGCGGGGGGGCGAGGGATGGGCCCGGGGTCTTTCCTCTGTTTCTTTTCCTCCACAGAAAGCCCAGTTCACCTGGGACCCCGAAACAGTTGGGATGATTCACGGCTCCTTCTTCTGGGGCTACATCGTCACACAAATCCCCGGGGGCTTCATCGCCCAGAAATTCGCTGCCAATCGGTTAGAGGAGAGACACAGCCGGCCCCACTGCCCAGGGCGGGGTTAGGGGGCACTGGGCTGCGGTGGGGGCGGAGGTTCAGCCAGGGGGCGCTGGGCTGTGGGTGGGGGGCAGGGAGACTTTTCAGATCAGGTACAAAATCTCAATCTCATTAAATCTCCCCAGGCTCCTTTCTGCCCTGTCAAGGCCTGGCCCCTTTCCAAATGGGCTAATCCTAGGTTGGTTCCTGGCCCGCTGCGCTGCAGCCAGCCCCCGCACCCCACCCCAGAGGGGCCGCATCCTAGCACTGGGCGAGGAGTCCCCTGCCCCCAGCCCCCATGCCCCACCCCACAGGGGCTGGGTCCCACTGCTGGTTGGGGGTCCCTGGATACCCAGCCCCCGCACCCCACCCCAGAGGCACCGCATCCTAGCACCGGGCGAGGAGTCCCCTGCCCCCAGTCCCCGCGCCCCACCCCAGAGGGGCCGCATCCTAGCTCCGGGCGAGGGGTCCCCGTGCACCCAGCCCCCGTGACCCACCCCACAGGGACCGGGTCCCACTGCTGGTTGGGGGGTCCCCGGATACCCAGCCCCTGTACCCCACCCCAGAGGTATCAATGGTGCGACAGTGTGAGGTAGACAAAATGCACTAGTGAGCAGCTGTTATGATCAGGGACAATGCGGCTCCAGCCATGACCAGCAGTGGCATAACTAGAGAGCAGCCATTGTGCCAACACAATAGTGTGTCACTAGTGTTAGCGCAATGCACTAGTGAGCAGCAAGCATGCAAACGCTAGTGATCAGTGAGCGTGCGATGCACTGTTGTGCAGCAAGCATGCAAACCCAATAGGAGCAGTGAGCATTCAATGCACAAGTGAGCGGCAACCATCCAGTGCACTAGTGAACAATGTGTGTGCAAACACAATAGTGAGCAGCCAGCATGTGATGCCCTTTTGAGCAGTGAACCTGGAAACATACAATCGAGTTGCACGTATACAAACACAATAGTGTGCAACACGTGTTTAGTGTACTAGTGAGCACTGAGCATGCAAACACAATGGTGACCCTCGAGAGTGCAAATACTATAGTGAGCAGTGAGTGTGCAATGCACTAATGTGCGGTGAGTATTTGAATGCACCAGCAAGCACACACATACACTAGCACTCCTTGAGCATGCACACACTGTAGTGAGCTGCAAATGTGCAAACACTGTGAGCAGCGAGTGTGCAAACACAGTCACAAGCAGCAAGTGTGCAAGACTCTACTGAGCAGCAACCATGCAAACACAACAGTGTGCCTTGCACCAGTGAGCATGCAAATGCAATCGGAAGCAGCGAGCATGCAATGAACTAGTGAGAAGCAAAGACAACAGTGAGCAGTGATTGTACAATGCACTAGTGAGCAGCGAGCAGGCAAACACAAGAGTGACCAACAAGCGTGCAACACACTAGCATGCAGGGAGCATGCCATGCCCCGGCGAGCGTGCAGTCCTGGTGTATGTTGCCGACAAGCAGCCACCCCGCTGCACAAGGGTGAGTCGCGTAGGTGCGATTGCACAAGCGCCCCACCCCTGCCCTGACCCTCCCCTCCCCCCGCAGTGTGTTTGGCTTTGCCATTGTGGCCACCTCGACTCTGAACATGCTGATCCCGTCGGCCGCCAGGGTTCACTACGGCTGCGTCATATTCGTCCGCATCCTGCAGGGGCTGGTGGAGGTGAGCGCCCCTGGAGGCGGGGACTGAGGAGGAGGGGGGTGGGGCTTGCCTTCCTGGCCACGCCCCCATCCCCATGGGGGAAGCTTGGGGGGGGAAGGGTTAGGGGGTGGGGCAGGGTTAGGGGGTGGGGCTTGATATGTTGGTCACACCCCTTCCCCCACATGGAGGTGATGGGGTAAGAGGGCGGGGCTTGCTTTTCTGGCCACACCCCATCCTAGTCTGGGTGGGAGAGGGCAACCTGTTGAAGGGGGTGGAGCTGCTGGTAGGGGGCGGGTCTCCCTCTAGCCACGCCTTCTTTGCCTATTGGGAGGTGGGCCTGAAAGTGCAACACGGTATGGGGTGTGGCCTGATGTGCTAGCCACGCCCCCTTCCTAATGGAGGGGGCTTGTCAGTGCAGGGGGGGGAAGGTGCCGGTGAAGGGGCGGAGCCTGGTAGCCTGGCCACGCCCCCCCAAGCCCTAATATCTGTCTGTCCATCTGTCCCAGGGGGTGACGTACCCAGCCTGCCATGGGATCTGGAGCAAGTGGGCCCCCCCTCTGGAGCGCAGCCGCCTGGCCACCACGGCCTTCTGTGGTAAGGGACCCTCCCCTGCCGAGCCCAGACGCCTGGGTTCTTGCCCCGGCACCGGGAGGGGAGTGGAGTCTAGTGGTTAGAGCAAGTGGGGCTGGGAGCCAGGACTCCTGGGTTCTCCCCCCAGTTGCCGGGGGGGGGGGGAGTGGGGTTTGTTCAGTTCGCACCGCGGGGCTTTGGCTAACGTGGGCCACAACCTCCCGCAGGCTCCTACGCGGGCGCAGTGGTGGCCATGCCGCTGGCCGGGGTCCTGGTCCAGTACTCGGGGTGGAGTTCGGTCTTCTACGTCTATGGTAAGGTCAGACCCACGGGCCCATCTACCCTGGCGTCCAGCCTCCCCCCACCCGCCCATGGGCCCCTCTACCCCGGCGTCCAGCCTCCCCCCACTCGCCCACGGGCCCATCTACCCTGGCGTCCAGCCTCCCCCCACCCGCCCACGGGACCATCTGCCCCGGCGTCCAGTCTCCCCCCACTCGCCCACAGGCCCATCTACCCCGGCGTCCAGTCTCCCCCCACTCGCCCACAGGCCCATCCACCCCAGCGTCCAGCCTCCCCCCTCACACCCGTGGGCCCTCCTGCCCAGTATCCCCACACAGAGGCGGGGGGGCTCTCCCAGCTGGCTGTGCCCCCACCCCCGCGGTGACTCCCCCCCTCCCATCGACAGGCAGCTTTGGGATCTTCTGGTACATGTTCTGGTTGCTGGTTTCCTATGAGAGCCCAGCTCAGCACCCCACCATCACGGAGGAGGAGCGCCGGTACATCGAGGAGAGCATCGGGGAGAGCGCCAGCCTCATGAACCCCCTGGTGGTGAGACCCCACGGCAAGCAGGCTGGGGGCACTGCTGTGGGGAAGCTCGCAGCGCCGGGATGCCATAGGCTGGGGGCACTGCTGTGGGGAAGCTCGCAGCGCCGGGATGCCATAGGCTGGGGGCACTGCAGTGGGGAAGCTCGCAGCGCCGGGACACCCTGGGCTGGGGGCACTGCTGTGGGGAAGCTCGTAGTGCCGGGATGCCATAGGCCGGGGGCACTGCT